GCAGCGTGCGCGTTAACTAAATGCCGAATTCTTCTGTCTCTCATTCCCAATTAGCAGCCATTTGCATGTACATTGAGCACTATCTGAGAAGAAAGGGTTGCTACGTTATACTCGCTGGGCGTAACCTCCTTGGTTTCAGAAAGGTTTAGCGAGCGTTGGGCCGCAGTGCCATGAATACAGTGAACTAGTATATACCATGAACTCGAGGTGGTTGAAGGTGGGAAGTAGACACAAAGCGCTAGCCGTAAGAAAATGTGCGTTTGCAACCTCTAGTTTAGTCCTTGCAATGTTCGCTGGGTGGCGGTGCTTCTATATGGGGATTATATGATGAAGAGATGCGAGATGGTGGTACTTGGAGTGTTGAATAGATGGACGAACGGACCCACAGACAGATGCATGAACGGACGCATAGATGGCTGCACGGACGGATGGACGCATGGACAGACGCAGGGGTGGATGCATTGACGAACGCAGGAATGGACGCACAGATGGACGTGCGGACGCACGAAGAGATGCACGAACGGGCGGATGGACGCACGGGCGGCCACACAGACGCACGCATGGACGGAAGGAAGCAAGAACGAATGGACGGACGGATGTTTCGCCCCACTCTCCATCATTCACTCCGTGGATATGCTGCCATTTTTTTCGCGTGTACTTGCACTAACCTTCTCGAATTTTCCCCTAATGCCGACACAAACGATCGCGCCCCCGCGTGCAGAAATACTTGCAGCGCAACACTAACGACGTGACCTGTAATGTACTAGCCCCGAAATTAATGTTTACGTAGCAGCGTTTGGAGCGAATTTCCCCTAACGATGCCCGGGCACCTTTCTTTTTTTCTCCTCGTTCGCTTGGTCGTCATCGACAGCGATTGGGAGTCGTTGAAACCTGGAGGGAAGAGCTGCCTACGAAACCCTTCCAGTGGGTTTTCGTGTATCTCTCTTTGTTTAGTTCCTCCTTACTGAAGCGTCATTTCGTCACGTGGTATCTGAAGGCTTAGTTAAATGCACGGAGTTAAGCCCACCCGGTCGCAGTGCTTGCTTTCCATATAAAACGCGTGGCACCATACGCCGTCGCCGCTTGCCGTTGCGTAATTGTGTCCGGAAAAAGCGTCCGCGGCAAAGAGCTCACTATGCATTATCATTTTTGTTTTTTTCCCCAAAAGCTTTTCCCCAGAGACCTATTCTGTATACAGGAGCCACTGGAGGCAGTTATCGGTGAATAGAGAAAATAATATTTGCCCATAAGCAGGTGTGGCAGATGCGAATTGGGGAAACTGCGTAAGCAAATGGATGTTACCACACATTGTTTGTCGGTTAAATAATATGAATGTCGGGTATCACCGTCTCTCGGGAGTGATTTGGTGGCATACGGTGCAATTAGGCAAAGCCCACGCTTGTCCTTGTCCTTAGAAAAACTAATTATCGAATACCGTAATTGTTTTTGCTAAGGACGTGCTTGAGCGGTCGTTTGGCGAAACTTTGAAGGTGCGCTTGCGCGTGCTAATGACTCATGGCACATGCTGAGAAAAGAGTTTGGAAAGCCTGCAGATGAAAAACGAATACTGAGATGAATAACAAAAAACGCCAAACTTCAATTCTTTTGCAGCCTTAGTTACTGTTCGGAAACTTCTGTTCCTGGTGTACCGGTGTGCATCGAGAACAATAAGCGTTAGTGCGTTGGCCGTTGCATCAGCCTTGCGGAAACCGAAGCAATCTTTTCGCTGTTAGAATACCCTACAGTATCTCTCAAAATAGCTTAGTATTCTATTACGGTCAAACCTTATTCAACAAGAAATATTCACAGCATATTCACGAAGTGAATAATCATGTGTGGGGCGAAGCGTCGGTCCATCCGTCGGTACGTCCGTCTGTCTGTCTATCTTTCTGTCTGTCAACTGTACGAAGTCGTCAACTACACGAAAAACACTTACATTATTTAGAGTGATATTATTACAAGGACATACGTACACAACGCCATCTAATGAGCACTTCTTCAAACTATGTGGCTACATACTACTACTACTACTACTACTACTACTACTACTACTACTACTACAACAACAGAGGGAACGAACCACACCGTAAGGAGTTTCCCCCCATAAAAAACTGAAGTGGAACAAGTTGATGAAGTTCATATTATACCGCCGTTCATAGTGTCTACATCGGTGTAGGGTAACAAAGAAACACTATTTGTGCTAATAAAAGTATTATACGTTACCAACTACATATCAGTCTCGTCGAGAATTTCCCAACAAAAAACTCGACCTTATCAAACACGCTACAAATGGATAAAACGCATGTTGATGACAAGTTTTCTATTTCATGAACATTCGCTTACCTTGCGAATCCCAGCAGAAAAGTGTTGCCACAATTGCTGCATGAAAGTTGATTTGCTGGCTATTGGCCAGTTATGCATCGTACTGCCTTCAGCTATCCTCCAGGTTATCTCACATGGCACAACGACTGCCGAGAAAGTGCACTGGTCTCGGGCTGGAATTCCAGATAGGGCGAATTTCTCGTCAACTAGGAATTGTGCCCTCTTTCTCTAAAACACGTATGCAATTCCTTCATAGCGCTTCCTCCTTTGCTCCACTTGTTATGCGTTAAGTTTATGGAGGTCAAGTTTACACTTTTTAGCCACCAAAACTAACCCACGCGTGCCCTGCAGGAGACGCGTCTGCTTTAGCTCTTTCCTGGGATAGGAATGCGTATACCAACACGAAAAAGCTTTTACGTTGCGTTCGCTACGTGCCTCTTTGTTTCCGCTCTTTGGCCTCTTGCTTTACCGTGACATCGTTCGCTCACACTTGCCATATTGAATTAGTGAGATTATATTGTACGCTCTTTCACGCCTGATTGAGATGAATCGGAACTGCCGTGACGTATTCGGATAGTTTGTATCTAGCAACAGGTACTCTTATGGCATAATGTATTTGTAGTATTAGGGCCGATTGAAACATACGCCGTTATCTAAAGAATCGTGCCTAAAGAGGACGGCCAAGTTTACGTTAGTAAAAAAGTCGTCACTGTTGTTGCTTTGTGTAAGAATTATTATCGCACGTTGAAGACGTTTCAGTGACGATGGCAATGCTAAAACTCGTTTAAGTGAAGAAACTATTAGAAAGCAGTCAGTTTTTCCCAAAGAGTTAGAAAACTAGCTCCTTCAAAAGACTGGAAACCATGAAAGATGACGGAATGACAATTATGCAAAAAACAATAAATTGCAAAACAAACGCAATATAAGGATGTGTTTCTATGTTTTCATACTATATATGCATTTGTACTGTCGTCATCAAGTTGCTTAGCCGTTGTCCCCGTCAGTACAGTTACTAGGGACGAATTGTTCTAAAGGTAAAAGTAGGGTAAAATGAAAAAAAAAAGTCTAATGCAACTACTGTGCCACCTTGTGACCATAGGAATGACAACGTGCAGAGGTGGCCTAAACAGCAACGGACAAAGAACATTATAATATATAAGTATGAGTTTATACCTAGCAATGCATAGGGAATTTTTTTCATACATGACTAATTCCAATAATAACCCCAAGCAATTTCTATACCGTATATCGAGGCTCGACCCAAAACAACGTACATGGTGGCATCAGAAAAGCATACTTTATTTCGATACCAATCATATGAATGCTCAAGGCGCATATTCGCTGTAACCGTGACTGTTACCGCCATCTTCCATATAAAGTACAAACTTATTACATATCCCCATTCGTCATACTATGTGCGAGGGATAGGTGGCGGAGGCTGCAGACGGGTACGGCTCAAGCACAGTTGAAACGCGCTGGAAGCAGCATGAAGGAGTGCCGGTACGCGGTCTGCGTCGCAAGGACAGCAACTGCGAAATTTGAACAAATGGGCACCGTCGCGTGCGCCGGCGTGGGTACTATCGTGACTAAGACCGTTACACGCCTCGTACCTTTACGGCGAGCCTTAGGCATTTGTGAGACGACGAAGTTGCGCCCCAGCTGTTCCGCACATTCGAGCTGGGCGCGAGAGAGGAAGAGCCAGGAATAGCTACAACATCTGTGGTAGTCCATGTTCGAACAACAAATAATATATGTGGTAAAACAAATGCTTCGGATCTTCCCACATCATAGTGCATGCTGTTTTCTCATCGCCTAACTTGATTTAGGAGAAAAACAGCGCGAGAACATCTTGACACTAAGAGCGGTCATAATTCCTGATGCCAGTGTATTAAATGCGAATTTATTTCATAGTCAGGCTATGTCAGGCATCCGGCGTTGTCTGTGGCATCCACGGCGCTCTCTCTCCCATAGCAAAAGCTTCGGGCGCGTGCGCGCTTATCCTCGCCCCTGGCAACTGGAGCACGTGGTGCGAGAGAATGTAGAAAAGGGTGGGTGCAGTTATTCGCCTATCCTTCTCTCGCTGTTCGCTCTCGCTGCTCCCGGCGCCCCACTTTCCCGTCCACTGCGCCTCACTCTAGACCGTTCGCTGGTTGGGCGCCTCTCAAGAACATCCGGAAATTCGTACTCGAGACGCCGCTATGAAACGCCTACGCCGAGAGGAGAACGCTGTTTGTTCTGTTCACTTCGTAGTATATTTAACCGTGTACGCTAGCTACTAGTGCTGGAAACGCAATCAGCGTTTATCGCGACAGAAAAACGCCACTTGCGGTGGACAGCGCTATCGGCTGCAGAGTGTAAGAGAAAAAAAGAAACAATATTCTTTTGAAGCTGGGTTCTCCGGCACAAAACGCCGTCATAGACGCTACGCAATGGATTCGCATTTTCTCACAATTCCCTTCGGGGAGGTGGGGGCATTTTTTTTTCGGTTTGCGTCAGCCGGTGTCGTACAAGTGGTAGCTGCTTACTTTACTTTGTATGGCATTCCTCTTTGTTGCTGTCGCATTATTGCGTTTGAACTGCTCATTAAAAAGAGCTGTCGGCGAATCGATTTGCACATTTTATGCTTTCGTATATGACAGACATCTTTTCTATTTTTTTGTTTGTCGCAGGTCTGGGCGCCGTGATTCTCCACCATGCGGCGTCGACGGAGCCTGCAGCTATTCGGCTGGCTTCTTCTGGCTGCCATGGCTACCCTGGTGCTGCTGGGTGCGCCGCCGTGGCCCTCTGGCGTCGACTACTCGTCCTCACCGCCAGTGGAGTTGACGCGTCACCCGTTCTGGACGTACGACCCGGTATTCCAAGAACCACGCGACCCCCGCCAGCTGTGCTCGCTGCCCGTGGTTCACCCACTTCACCCAAGCGTGTGGCCACACCTCAAGCGTACAGTGCCCATACAGTGCAAGGTGAGAGGCGTTTGCGTACATGCATATACGTGCGAGAGAGGGAGAGAAACACTCCAAATATTTCAACATCCTACATCCACAAGTACACAAGCAGCCACTTTGCTGAGAGTGGCAATCTAGAGATAGCTGGTTGAAAAGCAATAAGCGGTTTATTTCAACAAAGGTTTAAACTTTGGGGGGAAGGCGAGAGGCAAACTGCAGCTTCCGAGCTGCCGGTTATCATTGATCAATGGCCGTCTGCATAAGAGCAAGAATAAAGGGTACTCAGAGAGGTGGAAGATAGACAGGGACTTACACAGAGATAGATATTCAATGGCTATTCACACATAAGAACATAATCTTACTTTTTTTTATTGACTCGTGAAGCGACTTTTTTTTGACAGCGTCCCTCACTCACCCCCGCACACGAGCACTGTCATGTCAGTAAACATTAAGAGCTTTCGGTAGCGTTCAAACAATGAAAAGCTTTAAAACATTTGATTAACTGCTTCATCAAAGCATCTGTTCAGCCTTAATTAGAAAACGCTGGTAGATCTGCTTCATCATTCTTAAAATGCGTTTGGTTTTTCGTTCCTAGGTTCGTCAACCGTGGCTTACGTTCGTGGACATCCGAGGCAACTTGCGCTTCAACCAAAGCTCTGGGTACAAGCTCGAGTCGCTGCGATGCACGTATACCCCTGCCGAACGAGACGGTGACGACCGAGTGAATTACGGAGACCCGGTGCCTTTCACGCGCGATGGAATTCCACTTCAGCACGACGTGGTTTACGTCTCGTGCCGGAATTACTTCGAGATACCCGTCTACTCCAACGTCCACGCGGTACTGCGAATTCCAAAGTCGATGATGACGTCGCCGACACCCGAAGCACAGAATCGGCCAAATGTTCTGGTGTTTGGCCTCGATTCGATATCGAGGTTGTCGATGATGCGGTTGCTGCCAAAGACGTACACCTTCCTCACCGAAGTTCTGGGCTCGGTCGTCTTTCGTGGAATGAACAAGGTGGGCGACAACACTTTTCCTAACCTGGTAGCACTGCTCACTGGCATGGAGGCCTACACGCAACTGAAGCATCCAGGAATGAACGGTGATACCTTCGATGACGTCCGGTTTATCTGGGATGACTTCAAACACGGCGGCTACCTGACACTTTTCGCCGAAGACTTCCCTGAGTATGGAGTGTTCAATTATCTCGCGCGTGGTTTCAGGGACCCGCCGACTGATTTTTACTTTCGCCCTTACTGCCTCGCCATGGAAAGCTCATTCTTGATGAAAACAAGCTCGAACCTTTGCTACGGCAACGTTCCCAAGCACAAGCTGCAGATAGACTACGTGCGACGGTTCATCGAAGTAAACAACGGGTCGCGGCCCTACTTTGCATTCTCGTTTCTCGTCGAGATCAGCCACGAGTACATGCAGCAGGTCGCAGCGGCTGACGAGGATATCTTGCAGTTTCTGACAGAACTACGGGACCGAGGTCATCTGGAAAACACGTTCCTCTTCTTCCTTTCTGACCACGGTCACAGGTTCGACTCTATTCGTGAGACCTTCGTTGGTAGGCTAGAGGAGCGGCTTCCTTTCTTCGCCGTGAGGCCACCTTCAAGTTCGTCATGGCTCAAGCGTTACTCAAGGACGCACCACGGCAGTATGATCAGTCACTCCAGATCTTCACCCAGTTCACTTGTGGAGCCGACAACAGTAACCTCGAAATCTCTGTTGAAGGCGCTGCAGCTTAACGCTGGTCGTCTAACGACGCCTTACGACACGTACGAGACATTCATTGACATTCTGTCACTGGGAAGGCATGGAAGATTGACCGCCAAACCGAGATCAGACTTTGGCATAAGCCTCTTTCGCGATATACCTCTGAGTCGTTCATGCGATCTCGCAAAGATTCCGGAACAGTACTGCTCATGCGATGCCGAGGAACCCATTGAACTTTCTAATAAGATCGTGGAAAAGGCGGCGCTGGCGCTCGTCGACAAGGTGAACAACCTTCTCGATGTCGGTCTAGGGAACGGTTCATACCGATGCGCTCACCTCACCATTCGCAAGATTCAAGACGCCCGAGAGGTGTTTAGCAATGTTGGGAGCCCGCTGTCTTCACCGACGCGCGTGACCGAGTCTTCTAGCCTGGCCAATACGGTTGGCCATAACTCTACTGGCAATGTGGACCGTCACTCGGCCAGCGTACGCAGGATCCGCGTCACGGTGGTCGTGCACCCCAGCGACGCCATGTTGGAGGGTCTGCTCCTCGTGCAGGAGGACCAGAGGCTGGTCGTCTTCGACGACGTCAGCCGCATCAACAAATACGGACGCCAGTCGTCTTGCATTGAGCATCAGACGTTGAGGAAGTATTGCTACTGCATTGAAAATTAGTGATTTGGCCTCGACATGGTCACTCTATAATGTGGTGTACTTGGTTCTTAGGAATTATGGCGCCGTGCTTCGGCAACCTAAACAGCCAATTAATTTATTGTTCGCTGATTAATTTTGAACAGTGTGTTACATTGTTCATCTTGTTCGTCTTTGTTCGCAGTGTTCTCGATTTAACATTAACCTGTCTTGTGTGGGGCAGACTGCAATAGCGCCTGGCGTGAGTGGTTAGTTCCCCTACTAATTTGCCTATCACCTGTTTAGTAAGTTGTGTTCAGTCATTTTCAGTCATCACTGAATCAGCTACCTCGGCGTAAGTAAATTCTTGAGGGCAGCTTCACTTCATGGGGTGTTTTCTAAGGAGGTTTCAGTGCAATGCTGTGTGTTGCAGTGCAGCTTTAGAAAACGCAAAGCCTGCGCGAACCCTTCCATGTGCAAACACTTAACTTATCGAATGATATACTTTTAGCGTCGCAAAACTGAACGCAAGTTACGTGTAGTTTTGTCGCTTCCATGCCTGTTCAAAGAGGAACATATAAATGTGATCACGAAACAGCTACACACTAAGGTGGTACTGGACAAAGCGATTACCGGTTGCTCCACAGATTACGTTCAGCACAAATGTAGAATATGTAATAATTTTCTACAAGCACTTCCGTGGGCAGGATTAAAACAGCCCTTATGCACGTCATCATTGACTTGTAAGCGTTTCAAAAATTTGACGTCCTGCTACCGTCAAAGCTTTTCTTAGAACGAGCGTATAACTTAAAGCTAGGTTACCAAGCGCGTTGCTATGTGCTCGCTAAAGTCGGAATAAAACAAGTTTTATTGGAGAAATAGCTTGTAACAATAATTCTTCCAGGTGGCATAGTTTTTTAATATTTGAAGCAACAATTCGTTGTTTAGCGTTACGACCATTTACCTTATATAAGGAGGTTTTGTTGATGAATACATCTCAAGTGCTGGGGTCCAACACTTGTTGAAACTTTAATCCTGAATTCACTAGGGCAATGGTTCGTGGAAAAGTCCGTAAAGTGAAGGATCCTGCTCATAGCGTTGAAGTGTACCGCCGTGAAGAAGTGAAGAAAGCGGTTATATGTCAACAAAGTTTTTTTTTCGCACTAACAAAATATACACTTGACTACAGACTTCACCGGTGGACTCTATCTGAACAGTTCTGCCGGAAGATTCACCTCGCAAGGCTGTTAAGAAATCTGAGCTTCATCTCTGGATTGGTGCCTCCAAGAGTGGAGTGGAGTGCAGTGCAGTGCAACGCATCACGCGTTTGCGTGCGTGTGTGTCCGTGCGTGAGATGTCTCAAGGAATGACATTGTAGTCCTTTGGTTCTGCGATCGCTGGCGATCTCGAACATAGTTACGACTATTGTCGGTTCCTCATGTGTAATCTTGACTTTTTATTTATACGCTGACAGGAATCAGCAGTTAGGAGTGTTTTGTGTTTTTTCAATAGGCAGAGGAGCGCGGATCCCACCAGTTATCCCATTTGCGGTGAGGAATCCTCGTGCAGCGTCGCCATTTTTTCACACTTTTTTTAACGAGTGAATGTGCCTCTTTAGGAGATAGATTGTTAAATTTGTTTTGCGATTTACAGATTTGCGTTTCTTGTGAATCTGCCCCATTGTGCATGTCGGAACTTCGCCATCGTTTTTGTTTCCGAGTTGTGTGTTGTAACGATGCGCTTTGGCGCGAAGCTTTGACGTCATAACGGTGTGGCGAAGGGACGGTAGCAGCAGACGTCGATATAACGCAATCACGCGACCCTTATCCCGTTGTGCAGCGCCGACGCAGCCATGTCTTGCCAAGGCTCACCTGCTAATTTAATTTCGCATAGACATTTCCGTGAACATTTGTTTAAACTAGCAGCAGCGTGAAATCGAAGTTGGTCTCTGCTGTGTCGTCACGTGCCATCACGTAGAAGTGACGCAGAAAACACACACTAAAATAGGAGCCCAGTGAAGAGTCGTAAGGAAACACTGTTCTTGTTATGTTATTGTTTTGTTTTTCCAACAGTGAAAGTCTCTTCATCATTGTGTTTTTTTTTTCTGGCACAGTTCTTGGGTGCCCTCAACGCCTTAAAACCACTGTTACCCGGCATCATCAGGGTTTCCCGTTACTGCTCAAAGCACAAGCAACCGTCTTTGACAAATCCTTGACGTGTTCATGACTATAGAGCGTGTTGTATAGGATAGATAGTTTGTTCGACAAGGGACACTCCTCGTTGACCACACTGCCTCGTGAGTAACCGGAACCGAACTTAGCATCTGTAGAGATTGTGCCTCCTCTTCTTAACCTTCACTGAAATGCGCTAGAAAAGTGCTGCAAGCTTTGAGTCTTTCTTAGTGTCAAGTGACCGCAACGTACACGTGTTCACTGCTTGCAAGCTCGTAATACCGCTATGACGCATCAGTTTCTCGGTGACGATACTGTTTCTCTTTAAACAATGCGTTCAACGTTCGACTAGTAGTTAGAACTGAGACATGGTCGCCGCGCAGAGCTATGTGGTGTGTGTTCTTGATGCGTTTCTGGTGTGTCGTTTACCTCATCGGGCCCTGTTCCACCACTGAGAACTCGCAGGGTGACATTATTCGGCATGAAAGTGAATTAGCCGAAAGGGTTCGCCGGTGTCTGCAGTGTGCCGTCTAGCGGAAAGCTATACGAAAGGAAAATCTCGTTCAAAGACCTGAGTGCACCTCCTGCGAAGTATGAAGCGAAACGCGTTTGGTAAATAACGAACGCAGTGGGGAATGAACCACCGCTTGTATTTGACCTTGGGTGTCGGAGCTTCCCGTGGAATAGTCCCGACGGGTCACCTATTCGAAGCTTGCAGTAATGTAATTCCGCTGAGTTGGGCACTCACAGCTACACAAAAGTAGTGAAATGACTACGGAGTCATCCTTGGAATATAATTTCCTTCATTGATTACTTCAGAAAATTGAGGTGGCTGTAATTCGAGTGCGTAGCTACATCTCTACTGAAACGTTCCGTATGATAGAGCGTTTCAGTGAAGTAATGATGGTCGTTGGTGAGAAAAAAAAAAACACGAATTATTGACGCTCTTTTTGGCCAGCCGTGCCAAGCTACTTTTATGAGCATTTCTTTGAAGCCACCGAGTGTTACGCAATATTAATTGTTTCTACTACAGATCGGGATCCTTAGCACAAGGATGTGTGCAGGCTCATTCGTTTGTGAGTTTTTTCAATATTCAAATCGCACTCCGGGAAAAGTATTTGTTCTATTTGAGTGCGCATTTGTACAAACATTCGACCACGTTTAGTTGTGTTTTTAAGCCGATAAGATCGCAAGCACAGGACGTTAATCAATTAGATTTATTGTAGTAGTGGCACGAAATTTGTTCGACTGTGGATTACCCTATTAGAGCAACTAAATGTTTGACACGTCTGTTATGGCGCTAGATCTACACTAAGATTGTTTGCATTGCATTATTTTCTTGTGAATATATGACATTGAGATAAGGCAAGCGTATCCTGTTGGCAATATGCTTTATTTCGTTAGCCGAAGTTCTCAACCAAGGGTGTCAGTGTGTTTTACAAGTGAGTGCTTTTATAATGCGTCCTCTGTCGTTTAGCATGTGTGGGGTATTGCTTTCCGAATGCTAACAAAGTGCCGCATTTCGAGCTCCGGGTCCGTGTGCAATAACTGGAAAAGCACCTTGCCATGATCCCGTATAAACAACTGTGTGTGCTGTGATGCAGAAAACGGAGCTTGCGATCTTGTTCATAAGCGGGTGTTTTTGTATAACACGCGATGGATAAATGCAGACACGTAGCCAGGAAGGTAGTAAACAGAGTGCCGTATTTCTGGCCTCGAGGTCCGTAATTAACGGAGAAAATCGCTCACTTCACAGCTTAGAGCATGCGGGTAACATCGAGCTTCGAGTTTAAACTTGAGGAATGCTGGTCCACAAAGCAATGTTTTTCCTAAGCACGGTGATTCCGTGTGCGATGTACAGAAACGCCCACAGTGGTCCACTTTATTAGGAAACATCGGAGCACGGGACTATCATCCAACGCAATTCTAGCCTAGAAAGCCGGTCACGTAGGCTACACATTCAAACTCAGGGTGCCTCAGTGTCAGCCATTCTTGAACGATACAAGAACGAAGGAATGCCACCATCGTGGGGCCCTATTCCAGTCACTGTACTGACACAACCACCGCCGTACGGCGGCTACGACAAATTTCGCGCAGGCGCAGTGCGCGCTGTCAGTGCTGCTCTTTTTGCTGTTCTCTGAAGTCTGCTGCTGAGCTTGGAAACGTCATGACGCAAACCGTTCGCGCAACGCATGAGCACCGCCCTCTTGGTTCACTGCGCCTGCGCGAGACCAGTTCACCCGTTAGCCGGTGGTGGCGCCGTGTGGTTGCTCCGGCTTGGAGGAACTCTTCTTTTACAGTGAACAGCTGCGTAAATCGCTGCCTCAGCATGTGTTTGTTGTTCACAGAATAAGAATGCGTTGGTCGTAAGAAGTCAAACTCTTAAGCCATTTTCAACACAGCGCGGCACGCGGCATTGACTGTTGTCGCGAGGAGGCGACCCATCTTTTATGAGGCTGTAGCATATTTGTTTTTTTCAGCAGTCAAGAGCGATCGATGTTTTCAAGCCCACGTTAACGTTCTTCACTTGCGGAAGCTAACGAATGCTGGCGAGAGATATCGGCTTTACCCTGCACTTGTCGAAAAAAAAACAATGCTTTTGATAAATGATCTTCTAGAAGGAAGGCCGAATCTTCATCTTTTGCAAGAGGAAGTAGAAAAGCGAAACAAGCCTCCGCTGCCCAAGTTTGAGCGAGCATTGTAGGCTGCCGTAAATCTCGTTCTCCTTTGGCCAAACCGGAGAGATACGAGGATGCAATGGCCTCAGGCAGAGGTTGTCAGTGGGCTCGCCAGGCTTCCCACAGCAAAGAAAGTTTACGGTGCTGCCTATTATCGAGCTTATGTCTTGCCTTTGAACGACAATGCAAAATCTATGACCGTTCGAATTTTTTTACTTAGACGCGCAGTGGATGAGAGGACACTCAGGAGTTCACCTCAGGAGAACTCGTGCGATTATCGTGGCGTCATATATGCGCTTATTTACCACATTGTTATTTTTTTTGCTAAAAAGGCAGCTCAGACAAGCATAGATGTGCTTTTTTATAATCTATCATGTTTAAAACGTATGAGTTATAATCCTTCGTTTGACATGAAGAGGGAAAAAGGTACGGTTCATCCAACTTTGTCTTATTTAAGTCGTCAGAGTCGAACAAAAATTAAGGAAAGTTTTTTTAGGGCCTACTCATAGCGCCCGTGGCTACATATGTGAATGATTGGCATATGTAGCATGCTGATCGTGTAACTTGTGAATGCACGGCGGGTCTTTAACTACATGGGACCAAGATAAATAATGTTGGGGACACGTACTCCTATGAAGCCTGGATAGTATATTGCAGTCAGAAAAGTATAGGTAAAATTGTGTTAAAAGGCTTAGGAAATGACTCCAAACGAAGTGTAATTAGTAAGTATTGTAGTTACGGACAACGAAACCACCGACAAATGTGCTTTTTGCTAATCTTGAGAAAGCAGCAAGCTTTGGAAGGTGCCGGTTTGGAGGCTGAACTGCACAAGGGACGCGTTCAGCTGTTGCCGTCAAAGAATAAATTACAGACAAATCAACGGAACACATCAAAATAAAATATTTTCATCCATCAATTATGTGATGTATTCATCCGCAAGAAGGGGAAAGCTAACCTTGTGAAAGCTATATTACAATTTATCTCGGGGAGCATATTGATGCATCATAAGTTGTCACCAAGTTCTGCGACAAGTCATCTTGCATCACAGGGTGGATGATGGGCAGTTTGCGTTCACGAGCATTTGTATAACAGGCTTTCGCTTCGACGGTATGTTACATTTCATGGCATTGGTTAGTCCTCAAGGGCATGTTGAACATTGCTCATGGAAGGTATAGACGAAGCTGTCAGACGAGAAAGTGGGCAGCACCGGAAAGCAAAATATGTAAAGTCATAAATGACACATATATAACATGCAAAGAGGAGATGCCGGCAGCTAAGCCTTTAGAAAGTATAAAAGGGGCATGAGAAATGGAGACATATATTCATCAAAAAAAATTCGTAAGACTCGTTTGACACATATCCAATAATCTCATACGGTCATACGAATAAACAAACGATTCAAATGTGTTCGTATTACTGGATACGAGCAGTATGTGTGAAATGAAAATTTTCGGTTGAGATAGATTACACATCACATTAGAGGATATTAAGGTGACACCGGTTTTGACCCTGATAACGTAATCAACACCCAGTGAAATAAGGCACAAGTTCGAGAGAATAGCTTGAAGGCATAAATGTTCTTGAACTCGGGGTGTCGTTGTAGCCCAAGCTTTTACCAGTGGCCATGTTTTCTTCAAGGCGAAAATTGTCTAGAGGAAAACAGCACCATGTGTCAAAACACTAGCTACAGTAACATCTCGTCGAGAATACCAATATCTAACAGTAAAATAGTGCTATGATGCGAAACAATGTAAAGTGAGCGAGGCGTTCACCGTACCCCGGAGGCTCTCTTCGCATCTTTATATATACAGAATCCAACAGTCTTCTTTCCATTTTCAGATCACATTTGTTGTAACGTGGGCCGACTGTGTCATCTACATAGCGAAACACTAAAGCATCATCTATACACGTAACGCTTGCAGAGCCTCTGCGCATATTTCGCTACTTTTCATATTTATCACTGTAACATTCACTGATCCATGTAGTTAGGTACTTTTTAGAACACTATTACGAATTCATCTACAAACCTATGTAAAAATATAGGCGCGAATAGTATGTATATCCAAGTTGAAACCCCATATATGTATAGTACGGATGTAGGCAACGCGTGTTTTGACAGCCTAGGATATTTTGAGAGGTGCCCAGAATTTCGACAGCTCTTTTTTGGGACGCCCTGTACTACTGCCACGAACAATCACCCGTGAAAACGTTGTTGCATTTCTTTCAGAACTAGGATAGAACGCCAAGCTCTCTGAAAAACAATGCCGGGAAAGAAATTGTTCTAACAAAGTTCCCACTCGAATGTCT